GAAAGAGGGATACGGGGGATTAGAGAGGCATATGAGGAACATGGAGGATTGGAGATGCATAAGGGTCATTGTAGCGGAGCTGCAATATTAAATTCCAAGATCTCCGCTGGTACAGAAGGTAATCCAAAGTAAAGCGCTGAAAAGTAAGGCAATATCCCAAATCCCCCAGTAACCGGATGAAACACAGTTCTGGGAGTCAACTGAGCTTTTATTCACAAGTCACAGTATTTATGCAAGTCCCCATGCAAGGGGTTTCCCTACTGACATTGCAGGGGTTATACAGTAGGGGACTACATGGGGGACTTAACAATCTGGACATTTCTCCCATCAGGCACTGCTGCCCGGGAGGGATCCTCCCACTGAAATATCCCGTTAAGTGGATTACCCCTCTGGGCAGCAGAACTCACATTTTACCTAAAAATGCATAACTTGTACATTATTCATTTTATATGACTGAACGACCGTTCGGTAGATAGCTGGTGTCTGAGCGTACCTTTCGTGAGAATACCGCTCAGATCCCAGCATAAATAACCGAACGTCGCACGAAATACACTTTAACATCATGTTCGCCTGAAAGTACCGAACACCGATGGGGAAACACAATATTGAAAGTAGGAGCTCCCGAACGGCCTGGACGCCCAGCGGTGTTTTCGCACCGTCGAGTACCCGATTTTAGTTCCATGAGCTCGACGACCAAACATCCCTGGGTGAACAAAGGATCCAAGATGGCCGCCCACCGCGTGGTCGGTAGTCGAATGACGGCCACCTAGCAACGCAATTAACTGCCGATTGCAAAAATGTTGCAATCGCTTAATGGGAGCCACACGACCTTCTGTGTGTGGGCTCCTGTTCGGTACTTCACAAACAGCAGGTAAAGTCCCTGTTCGTGGAACGAACACATGAATGCTAGCGGCTTTCGGCTGCTAGCATACGAATGCTCTATGATATAACAGTACAGGCATACATTAGAATACAACAGTGCAGCGGCTTATACAGACAACCTTTGCGGATACAGCCATGTAATCTAAAAGTGGCTAGGTTTGCCACAGTCATAGAGACAAATGGGGGGAGGGGATATTGCACAGTTACACAAGGACATGGGAGTGATGGGGGACACATTAGGGATAGGGCATAGAGTGACTCATAAGGGGATGAAAAGACATGTGAGGACATATGAGGGGGCTCTTTCAAGGTGATGAATCAGAGGCTCAACCGTCAGGGAGACTCAGATGGGGGGGAGCAGGAAACACATAGAGAGCTATACAAGTGGGAAAGGGGGAGGTGGGGGCCAGTTATGGGGAGAGGGGCATTTTGGAATGTCACCCCGGGAGCCAGATTCTGTAGAACCTGACCTTCCTCATAGTAAATCCTTGGGTACATTGCTCTGTTTATCACATTTTAAAAGTACATGGATAAACAAAATAAATCAGAAATCAGGCAGTATGAATGGAACAATCTCCCTTAGCAAGGGAAACAGAGGTGGGGTTCCACCTGTACTTTGTGCCAATTCACTGGCTTAATCAGTGTACGCATGATTAAGAATTCTCAATATATACACATACCACATTGTATACATTCTCAGTGTCGGTATGCATACCTGTAACATAAACATCCAGAGACTTATATTTATATATATAAGAGTTTGTAACTTGGACTTCATGGGCCTCTACGTAAAATGCATATCTCCCCCCTTTAAATACACACGCAGCAGAGAAAAACATTATGAAATTAAATTTATATTGATAACAAAGCTGGCTTTTATATCTTCGGCTAGGCTTTAGGATTACTTCCCTTCCTGGCAGAGCCTGTAGAAATATCAGAATTTGTTACATTATACATGCCTTTAGAATGATTACAATAATGATTTTTTACAAAATGGAAAATGCTCTAAAATGTACTTTCTAGTAAAATTGTAAAAATCAGATTTGGTACTTACTGTAAAGGTGATGCATTAAAATTGTTGACACTAGGGCAAGGGTATGCAACCTTCATCACTCCAAATGTTGTGGACTACATCTCCCCTGATACTTTGTTAGCATTATCTGGGTAAGAGCATTATGGGAGATGTAGTCCACATTACCTGGAGTGCAGAAGGTTGTCTACCCCTGGTCTAGGGTTAGGAAGTACTTATATTTAAGGGTTACCAACATTCATGCTGTGGGCTGAACAATTAAATTAGAAATTGCCATAAATGTTATCCTCACCATTGCAAATGTCCACAAGGAATAGGGGGTATACTACTCAACCCACACTTTAAATGCAGGGTGCAGAGCTGTAAAGAACATCTCCTTATACACAGTGCAATTGTGGCACTGCTCTCTTACAAATGCATTACTATGTACCATGTATAACTCCACTCAGCATTGTGCAGCACTGCCCCTGGAAGCAACTCTAGTAGCCATCTAAGGAGTGGCCACTGAAGTTGTGCCTAGGCTGTAATGTAAACACTGCCTTTTCTCTGAAAAGACCGGGTTTACTGCAAAAAGCCTGACGGGAATGATTATACTCCCCATAACAAATACAATAAGCTGTAGTTCGTTTGGTGACTATAGTGTCCCTTTAATATAACTGTTTTTAATGTATAGTTTTAGATATATATTATTTGATATTAGTTGTATGCAATTACTTTCTTATATTGCAACTTACATTGGAGTGGCATTGTGAATCAGTCTGTCTAATACTGGACCTATATGTAAGTCCTTTTTCTAAGTAAACCAGGTTGCTCTTTAGTAACCATCTCCCTGCATATGAATAGTGAAGAATGAGGAGAACAAGGAGACTTATTTGCAGCTTAGTAGAAAATTTAGGTGCGGTCTTAGTGTATTCTACAGAGAGATTAGCATCATTATTATCTTTAAGTAATAAAGTAACCATTTTCATAATCATTATTCTACATGTATAGAATTCAAGTCTCAGCATAGGAGTTTCATATTTATGTATACAACATAATATTAATAATGGCTATTTTAGGCCACTTATAGTCCCTTTAATCTGCTGTCTCTTTTTGTTTTTTTGTGTGTGTTCAAGTGTATTACCTAATAAACCTGATAAGCTTTTTAACTTGTGAATAAAGACTACCAATTATTGTAGGGACCTTTTCTTTTTTTGTATTCCCGATTGGGGTATTAGTCGTTTTTATTTGTTTTGTATCCTGGGTAACCCCCATTCTAAGGTTCCTTTTGCATGATCTCAAGGTCACCTATTAGTGACCTTATTAATCTGTTTTTAATTTTTACAAATTTTTTCCCTTCATTTCAGACGTTACCAGCCTCGTATATTCTTTCAAGCTTTCTGCATCTCAGGCATTGGTATATTAGTCATCATCAATATTTTCTCTCCCCTCTTTTTCCTATTTATATGACTTTAATTTATATAAAACATTAATATTACTCATTAACAAAGAAAGAAAGAAAAAAATACCATAACATAAAGCAGACAAAACACAACATTCACACGCAATGATGAAACCCTCTTCCCCAGTCTCTCTGCATTGCTATTCATAATACTGATATATGAGATAAAAAAAAAATTATTTCCTCTTTTTTTTTTTTTCTTTTCTTCCCTTTTCTTTTCTCCTCACCTTCCCCCCACCTTTTTTTTTCTTTCTCTTTCCTTTTTCCCTCCCTTTCCTCTTCTCTTCCTTTCCTCTTCTATGTATATTAATCTACTGCCGACAATTTTTTTAACCACTTATGTGAAATAAACATTTTTTCTTCAGGTTTCTATTCAAACCTCCCTCCATCCTAAGTTGCGAAATTAGTAGGTTTTTTACAATGTCCCAATTCGGTAGATTTTTAGTTCTCCACTGTGACGGACCACTGGCACTCCGACTGAGTACCTCCGCCAATTGATGCTCCTAGTGCTCGCTGAGGACTCCAAGCACTCCAACCGACACCATCAGCACTGCAGACCCCACTTCCAGCGATGCAGCTGCGCTGGGGTCTCGCTGTCTCCACCCACCCTGGACTCGAGGCCAGGGTCCAGATTCCAGTGGGTGAACCTCTCTTTCCCCAGAGAGCAGGAACAAGAACAAGCTCTTAGCAGAGCTTGGTGATCATACCCTGGGGAGTATAGGGATTATAGCAATCCCCAGAGTGTGGTTCTCCAATCCCCAAAACATGAGCTAAGGCTTCAAGAAAGGTACAAGATGATCTGATTTTAATGACCATACACTGGTTTTTATGCAAGTCTCCATGCAAAGGGACATCCCACAGGGTGGGACACAGTACAACCAATCATTTACAGGAAAACCGTAAAACACACCCAGCCCCAACATACAATCCCTCCCCTCTGCCTGCGATATAATTACTGAACACGATGGGTTAATGTAATTTATCACAGGCAGGAAAAATACACTTTTTACACATATACTGTAACTTAAAAAATGTGCATCATATTCACATAAAACATACATATTCAGAATCAGCATACTTTAAATATAAACATTACCAAAATTCAGCCAATTCCATCCTGTAGATAAAAAGTTAGCTGGGAGTCCTTTATGACCGACCACAAGCACATTTTCATGCCCAAAACAGTTCCAGAGAATCAGGCTGTGCGGTCGGTCTATTTCCCATGTTAAAGTCAGTTCAAACAGACGAACGACAACCATTCGAATTGTCAAACTGTCGAATGAACTGTCGAATGAACTGTCGAATGGCGTTCGAACTGTCGAATGCATTGAAGTCTGGAGAAGGTAAAACTTCAGCTGAATTAAAGATGGCCGCCGCCACGTGTTCGTTTGTCGAATGGCGGCCCCCCAGCGTTCGGCAATTTACCTACAGCAGGCTCCCAGCCTGGTAGGTAAATTGCCTGCACACTTCCATTTCTGGGTGGTCCGCCTGTGTGGTACCTGGTTCAGTAAGCCCCATTTACTGAACCAAGTGGGAGAAAGCCAGGAACACAGTATATTAACAGTCTGGGGACACTGGGGACAAAGTCTTAAAGGGGCATTGTTCCCAAAAGTCACAGTATGTTCCCAGATGGTTCTTAAAGGGCCAGCAGCAGCATAATAAAATACAAAATGCCCAAATACTGTATTTAAAGGGCCAAACCTCGCAAGGACCATAATCACATGGCAAGAGGCTGGCAAGTAGTCCTCTCCAGGCACAAGTGGCGATGTTAATTTCGCCACATCCACCTTCTAGCAATATAAATCTTTGCTGCTATTAATGCATGGGTAAAAAAGTGTTGTAAATCTACATTATACTGATATGTTTAAATGTAATATAAGCATTTCCGGGGCAAAGGGGAAGTTAGATCTGGTTACCATTTCAATTTTGGACAAGAACACTTTCCAAAATTCTTTAAGTGGAGACCAACTCCACCAAATA